TGCAATGTCCAGCAGATCTGAATGGGCTTTTTGTCTGAATGACCACAAAGTCTTAAGGTGCCTGCATAAAGTCGACAAACTAATGATAACACCATCTATATGACTTAAAGACAAGAGTATCTCCCAGTGTCTCAAACCCAAAACAAAGTAAAACTGGATTAAACTAAACAAGCAGGTCATGTTTGCTTCCATTATATCGAGCTCTCAAGAAAGGAATGAAAGCGTCTGTTGTTCTATTGCTCTCTTAATAAAGAAAAATAAAAAATACTCAGAAAATCAGAAAAAAATAGCCCGAAAAAAAACAGAAAAAAACCCCACGAAAAACAGAAAAAAATACACTGAAAAACAGAAAGAAAAAAAAAATTACTCTGAAAAATAGAAAAAATTACTCAATAAAACAGATTTTTTTTTAATTTGTCAAGTGAATGCAATACACTTCCGTAGTATATCATAATGAAGGAAAAAAATGGGGGGAAAATTTTAAATAAACAGGACACTAAGAATTACAAAGGGGGCTTGCATTTACAACAGAGCAGGTTCAGTTACAGAGGAACACAACAAAGACATTTTGAGTGATCGTACAATCTATTACAACAACCCATTCTATTCTATTAGATGCCCAAATATAGTGCAACTCGAGTTCACCTTTGTGTAAAAATGTCCATTTTCAGTTGGAGACATGTTGTCATTCATTCCATCATGTAGAGCATCCTGAGTCTCTGCATCCACTGTAAATCTGATATATTATTCTGTAGTTAAAATGGCATCACATTCAGTAAGGAGCACATTATGACTTGTTCAGGACTCGAAACTTGACTTGACCCCTCAGTCTTGGTTTAGAACTTGACTCAAGACTTGGGTGCAAATACTCGAGACTTACTTCACCTCTCTGTAGCCAAGTGTGATTTAACTGGTTCCTGTGTGTCATAGAGCTATTGTTGTCTAAACCTATTAAAAACACATTGATGAGTCACCTGTTCCTTTATTACAATAAACATGGGAACTGTGGTTTATTTGGAGTCAGTCCCACATTGCGCCTAATGCCGCTGTATATGCTCACAAAAGCACCAAATGTGTATTAATCTGCAGCTGAAATTAGTCCCCAACAAATTCACCATTTTTCCTCCTCTTTGAATAACGTGCCAAACCTAAAGAGCCCAGCTGTTTAAGCTGTTTTAAAAAATGAAACCATATTTGTGCGCCCTGATTTTAAAGATCTACAGTAAGGACAAATGGTCTTGGGACTGAGTGCCACTGACAGAAAAAAAAAAGTTGGAAAGCATTGAGTGAAGGATTAACATAGTTCTAGATTTGGTGTTTTCATGGGATTTGTTGATGATAAGAAATATATAGAATAACACCTGTTTTTTTCTTTAATCAGACACCACATGACACTCCAGACACAACATGAAAATGTGGCTAACTAACTAACCCTGGTCTATGATACGCCTGCTGTTTCAGATCAGTTGGCATCGTCCCTTAAATACACGCTCAAATACTAACTGAACACTTTCACACAGGAGCATGCATTTATTTATTTAAAGAGATTGTATTGTACCCATAAGAGTGTTATTTCCCGATTCTTATTATTAAACCTCGAATGTGTCCTCTTAGACACTTTTCAGAATATATATTCATTTGTAGTACCTGTTGGCAGGAAGCTTGAGCCTCATTATGGAGTTGTACGGTAGCCAGACATCAGCCCGGTGCTGCTCCCAGAGGACGGCGTCTTTTGAGGCTCGGCAGATAATGTCATTTTCATCTGTTGCTGAGACCTGTGCGTGCGTGACCAAGTGTGAAGACGTGTGTGTGTGTGTGTGTGTGTGTGTGTGTATGTATTGTGTGAGTCTGTGTCCCTAAAGACATTGTCTTTGTTGTATTGTTGTGTTGTCTTTGTGCTGTGTAGCAGCTGTGCTCAGAAATGCTTCAGTGAGCCCACACAGGCTGTTCAGCATTCGTGCAGGATGTCAGAGTTATCCACCATCACACTGTAAGTGTGTGTGTGTGTGTGTGTGTGTGTGTGTGTGTGTATGTGTCTTTGTCCACCGACACACGTTTGTGTGCGTCTGCCTTGTGTTGACTGCATGTGTATGTGTCTGTATGTGTGTTTTACACCAGGGGTTTTTTAAGTATTTTCTAATGGTCTGAACTTCCAAATGCATACTCTCTCTAACACACACGTTTGTACTTGTACTTGTGAGGACCCTCATTGACATAATGCATCCCAAAGCCCCTGACCATACCCATCACAGCTACATGCCTGACCCCAACCCTTACCCTAAACTCAACCTAAACTTTACTCTAATACTCTGAACCTTCAAATCAAGTCTTGACCCTCAGAGTAAAGTCACACATGCATGAAATTAACATCAGTGAATGTTTGCGTCCCATTCACTTCCATTAATTGAACGCAAATTCACATCTACATTGTGTGGAGTTCAACTTTGGTTGGTAGAGTTACAGCTTTAACCAGCACAACCTGGTTTCACTCCAAACTTGTCAAATACTGACACTTGGTCAGTGGCCCCCAGTGTCAGAAACACTAAGGCACCTTTAAGCAGCGGTATGAAATGCACCGGGCAGCAGAATTTTTTGACGCTCTGAGCAACTGCCGTAGTGTAAAGAGTGAGAAAGTCTGCATGAGGCAGGCAGGAGTTGATGTGGATGGGTCAAAAAAACTCCAGACTTTCAGCAGGTAGAGTGCTGTTCATGTTCTGTATAAAACCAGAAATCAAGTTATTCAAGTTAATGAAGTTATTTTAGTACATGCTAGTACATGTAGCGTACTACACTAGTGATGTTACATTACGTTGGCAACAAATGTACTTATTTTAAACCAAACCATGATTTAGTTTTCTGAATCAAACTGTGTACTTTTGTTGCCCGAACTTATGGGAGTAAACCTAAAAACAATTTTTTTTCACCTACTTTCTTATTTTCAAAAAGAGATTGTTTATTTTGAAAAGACTATATGCATGAATTGACATGCTGTCCCTGAACGTCCATAACCGACACTGAAGGGGTACCCAGCATCATAATTTGACTTTTAGGGCCACTGACCAAGTGTCAATATTTGCCGTGTCTACCCGATATTGTACGATACTGACAATGAAAAATACAACCTGCCCCACATGAGAGATGCTGCCTGGCTGAAGTGAGTCAGGAGATACGCGTGGAACACAAGAAAATATTTTGGGATACTTATTAGCAAGCTAGCTAACATTGGCTAAGAAGTAAGCATTCCTTGTACGTCACATTCGGTGTGAATCACCTCTGTAGGTGATGATCACTCACCTGTGTGCGCTCATGTGTGACCGTGCCCTCAAACAGGCCTTTAAAAGTCCAGCCCAAAGAGAGGACGGCCAAACTGTCCTCACTATAACTCAAACCGGTCCTCACAAAGAAAGACATGCAAGAGCACACAAACACATATACACACAATTTAGTTCATTTGCTTCAAAATTTAAACCTTTGTAGTTTCGTTGAGATGTTTTTTTCAAGTGCTGGTGGAGAGACAGCAACACAAACTGTCTCACAATAATACTTGTACATTTCCTAGCGTCTCAAAGAGTTCAGAGTATAATGTGTTTATTCTGCTGCTTAAGGACCCCTGGGGGTCACTGGACTGCACCATAAAAAATCAGTGTTGCACATTTGAGCCCTCTAAGGTGTCATTTGTTGTGTGTTTCTGTGTGTTACCACTTGTCATGTGTATGTCAGACATTATGTTGTACTGCATGATACATGCAGCAGGGATAAGGAACCAAAGAAAACTCTATGTGACTACAGGGACAGATTCTACATGTCCACAGTTATGTGTTTCTTGTCTCAGTCTCAGTCTTGTGATGATTTTGTACACTAAATCTACCCTCAGGTTTAAAAGAGAGAGAAAGTATATGGCTGGTGTTATTCTATATTTTTCTTATTGTCAACAAACCCCACATAAGACCTAAACCAACAATGTACAACAATACTTTCTGGCTTCCTTACCACATCCAAATGTCCATCCCTTCTCACTGAAGATGTAGATCTCTCAAAATGAGTAATAAATGTATAGTTTAGATTTTAAAACATGCTCTGTAATTTCCTTAAAAAAACAGGGCACTGTAGTTTTCAACAGACATTACTGAAACTGGAGTTAATTATGCATTTGTTGGGGACGATTTTCAGTGGCAAATTAATAGACATTTGGTGCTCTATTGAGGATAAATGTCAGCGAGATGATGTGTTTGGTATTGACTCACAATAAACCACAGTGCCCTGGTTCATCGTAACAAAGGAACATGTCACCAAGTGCAACAGTGTTTATTATAAGTCTGTTGCAAAGAAGAATAAGATACTTTTTAGAAAAAAAAAACAAATTAGTAAAAAATGTATTACTTAGGTCAAATTTTTACTGAGTTTAATTGACTGTTGACAATAAGAAAAATGAAGATATCTCCTGTGTAATGTGAACAATAGAATAATCACAGAATTGTGACTGAGCCTGCATTTCAAACAACATTGATGCCTTGATTGAATTCAAAGAGAGATTTTCTATTTCTAAAATTGTGGCTTGACTAAAAATTTAAACCTGTGAGCAAATGACTAGTTTATGTTTCATAACATTGCATCAGTGGCTCTGTTCTTGCATCACTTCCAGCTGACCAGCACCAGTAGAACATGACTTTGATTTGTGTTTGACTTTTGCTTCAATCTTATTAAACTGTGTGTGTATGTGTGTGTATGTAGGCGTCTGGCGCGCTCCACCCTCCTGCTCATCCCTCTTTTTGGTATTCACTACACTGTGTTCGCCTTCTCACCTGAAGATGTCAGGAAGAGGGAGAGACTGGTGTTTGAACTGGGACTGGGATCCTTCCAGGTATGCTTTTACAGCTCCAATGTCCTGTTTGAAATACCAGATGATGAATGAGGGAACATAATGGGATAATAAATCATCTATACAAGATACAAAGAGGCTCTTTGGGAGAGTGATAGTGATATTCAAACCTGGTCACTCACTATCCACAGCTGTGCAGCGAACTAAAGATACTCAGATCCTCACCAAGGCCAATAGTCCTGCCTACGATGATACACACATCTGCAAGCGCAACCCCTACATATCTTTAGATATCTCTGAAACTGAATGATGTCAAAACGTGCTTGTCCCTAGCTGAATCCTCATCATCTCAGTTGTACATTTATTATGTACTTCTAAAATGGAAATATTTTTCATACTTAACATTTTTGAAAACACTTATATTGTCATGCACTTAAGTTATTAAACACAGCTTTTGCAAAAACTATGTTCACAGGGAAACTTGTGAATTTTTGCTTTAGTCAAATTTAAATTTGCACAAAGAAACAGAAGCTTATTACACAAACCAGTATAGATTAGTAACTTAATATTTACACACATTGTGGTTTTTGTACTGGTTCTCCCATGAAACCACTGTCCCTGAGGGCTCCACAGTGACTGATTTCTGTATGATGTTTGAGCAGCTACACGTGTAGGCTGCCACAGAGGATTACTGGTACCCGTGACTGTGGATCGTGATACGGAGGCATCATATTCCTACAATTGCCTATGTTTTGTCACTACTGAACGTTACTACCATCTACTGGATTTTAAGATGTATGACATTTGTTTTGCCTGGGCCAGATGCCCAAGCATACAATGTTATTTGGACCCTTTTGAACGTTTAAAGGCTTCTTCCTTGGACCACGCTACACCCTTCTGCCAAGTTTCATGAAAATTGCACAAGTAGATTTTCTGTTATCATGCTGACAAATATTCAAACTAAAAGGAAAACATAATCTCCTCAGTGGAGGTAGTAAAGTCTGAAGGGCAGCTGTTGCCTTGTAGTGTTTTCCCTTGAAGTAATTATGAAACTATGAAAACAATATTGAACAACAAATTCACTGATAGTGATTATAAATCAGATTGGGTCTCGTGACAGAAAGAAACAAACAATTAAAATAAAAATGCCAAACAGTCAGTAGTTTCAGGCTCTTAAATATGAGGATTTTTTTTTTGCCTTTATTTGTCTCATTTCTTTGGGTTTTTGATTTCTTATGCTTTTGAGAAAACATGATAGGAATTTTAAGCTATTTTCATATATTCTATAGACAAAATGATTAATCAGTGATGCAGATGAAAATTAAATTGCAGCCCAGAATGTCATGCTTTCATTTAATAGAAATAACATCTATGTCTTCTGCTAAACATTTATATCTGCCTAAGGACATAAAATACACACTTACCAGCACAAGCCACACACTGGTTCTACTCAGGACCCTACATTTCTGCCATTTTGTTTAAATAAGTTATTGCCACTTTTGCAGCCACAAGAAATGATGAACTAATCTTTTGAGGGAAATATAAACTTTCTCCGTATTCTTTCATGGAAAATGTTACAGAGGGGTAAACATGTCATGCAGTTTACTGATGACACTTTACAATTCCTGCATAGTGAAGTTGCTCGGACAGTTACTTCCTTCTGCCTTTCAGAGTTGCACAAACTATTTTGTAGTGTAGTATCCCCACGGTCTGACTCTTAGGTCTTTATGCTTTGCTGATAAGGATGCAGTTATTTTTAAAAAATGAAAGAAAATTTCAATGTCAAGCTGTTTTTCTCTTATTTGTTGTCACTTTTCTCGTCTTCAGGGCTTTGTTGTAGCTGTGCTCTACTGTTTCCTCAATGGAGAGGTAAGCTTTTGTCCCTGTTCATAAACAGTTTCCCTTTGTGATGCTCTCATCACCAGCTCGTTTTTCTGACATGTACAGTATTAATACCAGAAATGCCCGTAATGCTATTTTTGATGCACAGAGCACACAAGTATATTTAGGGATAAACATCTCTGAATATGTGTACAAATTATTACCCAAAACCATAACACTTTACTACTAACACTACTTAAACCTGTCTATTTAATATTTATGATATACATATTTAAACTTAATTATTTATAACACACTATAATTTAGAGGTGAGCAAGTATAGGGACATTTTAGGTGTTCATTTACATAGAAAAACAAGACATGAAAGCATGAAAAATAAATCCCATCTGTCATTATCTTGTCAACCCTTTGCTACCTGTTTATTCCCCAGTTACAGATGCTTCACAGGAATTATAACTGTTGACAAATACATTAACAAACACAGAGTCTTAAAGTGTTACCGACACAGCTTGAGTGAACTGTACCTTTTTGAGGAGTTGGTGCAGCTTAAAGTTCATTAAAAAATGACCTTGTGAAGTTTCTCCCTGAAGGTGCAGTCGGAGATCAAGAGGAAATGGCGCAGCTGGACGGTGAATCGGTACTTTGCTGTGGACCTGAAGCAGCAGCGGCACCCTTCATTGGCCAGCAGTGGAGTGAACGGCGGGACTCAGCTGTCGATCCTCAGCAAGAGCAGCTCCCAGATACGCATGTCCAGCCCGCTGGCGGAGAGTGCCAACATCAGCCTCCCAACCTGAGCGTCTGACTGGCGAGAAGTCAACTTCAAGGTGCCGTTCCACTTATGTACACCCAGACCAACCAGAGCAGACCAAAGTGGCCCCTGATACCTCTGACATTTTGTAGTTTGGCCTTTTGAAAATGAGGTATTTCTGAAAGCATTTACTGGAGACTCATTAGAGTAGCTTTCGTATGTTATAATTTCATGTGACGATAAAGTATAATTTATTTATTGTTTTCAATAGATTTCAATCTTTTCTGACTTATGATACTCTTGATATTTTAACAAATTCCACTCCCTAGATTAAAACAGAAATTATTAGAAATTTCCTACCACTTAGTTTAGTTCAGATTTAGCCCCGTTATTGTTTATTTATAAACAATATTAATGTAGAGTTGGTGCCAAAAAACAATAGTTGTCAAAAGAAGAAAACAGTATTTAAACATCAGACGTAGGGGTCATATTTGGCTGTTGGTATGTAACGTAAATGTGCTTCAAAGTGCCATACAGGTTGCCTGACTGGATCTGATCTCGTAACAGTCCAAAGTTAAACAACAACCAAACGTTCGCCTTGCTTGTACAAATGCTCATTGTTTGAACATTTCATCTTAAATTTAAACATTTTTATACAATCAGCCGTAAGTACAGAGTATGTCAAAAGATAAAAGGAGAAAAAATAACAACTCATGGACTTTGTAAATAGTTACTTTTGGTGTCTAGATCAGAGTTTCTTTCGTTCGCATAACGCAGTATTGTAATGACCTTTTCAAACAAAAGGAACTGGAGCCCAAATCTGTAGACTTCATCACATGTCCTGAGGACCCAGAAGATCCTGCCCACTATATTCTGAACTATTTGTTTGTATTAAATCAAATATACACACACAGTATTTGTAGTAGAACATAGTGCCAAAATGAGTGAGCACTATCAGGCAGTGGTTCCCGACCTGGGAGGTCGAAACTGTCTCGTAGAAATTACGTTTGTACGTTACTAAACTGCTTTCTTAATAACGTTGTTGTGGCAACGTAATCGCTGCCTGAATTACGTTCAGAGACAGATAATGAAACACTACATTCATGTACCATGTAGGCTTCGGAAAGAGGTGGCTAGGAAGGATGGTTGGCATACAAAGTGCAGGACGTTGACAACAAAAGCACTTTGGTTAGAGAAAGATTCTGATTTTAGTTCAATGTTAATTAAAAACAGTGGTAACACTTTACTTGAAGGTATCTACATGAGAGTGACATGACACTGTCATAACTATGACATGACACGGTCATGAACCTGTCATAAACATTATGTACATGTCATAAACGTTTATGACCGTTGTCATTAAGTGTCATTCGGTTTCTGTAATGACAAGCTGACATTGTTTGGGTTGTCTTGATTATGACAACTTGACATTAATCAAAGTGACATTACCAGAAGATGTCTTTGTCATGACAACTTGACATTAACATCAAGACATCTTCTGGTAATGTCATCCTGGTTAATGTCAAGTTGTCATTATAAGGACAGCCCAGCCTGATTTTCTCGGCAATATGTTTCCCTCAAAGCATATTTGCTATTTTTAATTGGCTGTATATAAATGTAATATCTAGGAGACAGGGCTGGGGAGTTAAAAGATTAATCTGAAGGGTCGAGAAATGTCAGATACAACAAGTTAGAAAAGAAGAGCAACATTTTCTGCTCCATTAATTTTAACATTTTGTGAAATACCAGATACTTTTATGTCTTCAGGCTTCATATTAAAACATCGAAAAAGTGCTCACATCTTGTAAAAATGTGTAACATTTGATAAGGGGTCGTGAGTTGACTCAGTGTGTTTTAAAAGGTTGGGAACCACTGCTGCGGAGGATAGCTCAGTACATGAGGGATACAAAATAGGATTACAAAAACTCAAATGACTTTAAAACTTTATCCTCACAGCTAGTGGAGTTTCCTCCAGTTGATTTCCCTTTCAGTTTCCGTCACGTACTTGCAGACTGTGAACATAAACAGTACATGTGCAATGTAGTGGACGCTCTAAGCTCCTCATAGTGCCATGAGTTTATATGTGCAGCATTTTATTAGCAAGAATCAAACCCTCAGCATGCTCTGAAAGATACCAGGACTCTTTGTCTTTGTCCTGTTCTTTCTGAGCTCCAACCCATCGTGCCATATTGTATTATACTATAAATATTACTCTTTATTTTATTTATTTATTTATTTATTTATTTGTATGACTCATCTCCAACACTCATATTCCAAAGTGCCTAGTCAGTCACAAATAGCTGTCACTTTTATTTCCAGTGCAATGAACAGATATCTTAAAGTGGTAGTGTGAGTCATTTCCTGCACAGAGTGGTGTGTTTTTATTGTGGATCACTTTGCAAAGTTCTGCTTTTTTTAATTGTTTTTTTTTTTTTTTTTTGCTCTTTTATTGGTGAGATTTCTCAAGTGAAAAGACTCCTGCTGTGTTTTGTTTTTGTATTCATAATGTGTTTGACAAGACTCCAGTATTAGCTCTACAGAACTGCTGTTTTATATAGCCTCTCGTGGTTACAGCTATCATCTATCCGAGATAAGTCCGTTTCAAACACATAAACTGCTTCAAAAAAGACACGTGAAGTAACAGTCAACACAAAATGCTTTAATGTGACAGCTCTTGACAATCGCGGAGTATTGCCCATTTTCTCTTTATGTCTGTTTTCTCTTTGTTTTTGTGCACAAACTAAGCTCATAAACAATAAATGTCCAGCAGGGGAAATCATTTAATAAGATAAAATGTGAAAAGATCTGTACAGGAGGATTTATCCACAGTATTTACTCAAGATATTTATTTTTTGTACCGTCATTTGAGTGGATTAAAAGAATGTAGTGTCTTGAAAAAACATTGTCGGATGTTGAATGTTGAACATTGTCGGAACAGAAAAGGATGTATATTTATTTTCCATAAGCCATGTGAAATGACTCTATGTACAGTATAGATGCTTTCTTATGTGTACTTTATGCCTGATGTATGATTTCATTACACTGATTGATATCAGCTCTCTTGGTCAAAGTGCCATAAATGTAGTGCCATGACGGGTGAGATGTTTGGCACAATGTCTCATTTCTAGTTTCAAAGAAAAACACTCACAGGAAATTGCTGCAGAGGATATTGTGAGAGATAAAACAAAGATATAAACTCTTGGGAAAAAAAAAAGATAAAACAAACACTACTGAAGAGATGCATCTGTTTTACGCATCTGCTTGGCTGCTTTTGGACAAAAATAGTGTGACCGTGAGATGCTATCAAGGGAACTAGAACCAGGGGTAAAAAAATAAAAAATAAAAACATCTTTTTTAAAATTAGGGATGTTTAGAAGGTGGAAAACTGCGCCAGATAAAACACAAAGTGCGTACAAGGGTGTGATAAAAACCACTCTGCTGCTGCTTACGTGTTCTATCACCAGCCGTCACTCTGAGTCTGAATCAGCTCAGATGGAAACGACCATGTCTCAAAGCTGTTACTGTCTGTTAAAAGAAGAGTAGAAAACTCCTTTCCTGACCATGTCTGTGCTGTATATTTGTTTACCACAAGGTGGCAGCAACGTGTTAGAATTTTAGTTTGGTAGTCAACTCGCAAGAGGGACATTTGACTGGCGTTGATTTGCTTTTTGAGCCTTGTACTGTGGACTTTGGATGAAACAGAGGTAGTGTGGGACACTGAGGCACTCAAATGCCACATGCTCAACACTGTTCACATTTATGTGTTGTGATTTTTTTACACAAATCAACAAGCAAGCCTACAAATTAGATTTTTCTACATGAATTATGATGTGTTGTCCTCCTCAATCTTAAAATATCCTTCCTACGGTCTCTAGTTTTAAAACAAACTGTGAACTATTTGAATTTCAAAACATTTCCTGAGACACGAGGATATACTGAGGATTGGGGGCACCGTTTAGCGCTGTAATAAAGTCAGGCTGCGGAACTTTTCAGCCCAGTTGTCCGGACAAAATGTTGGCATGGTACATTTCTGCAAAGCATGTACATTAGTACATTTCATACATATCATATTAATATTGCTGAAGTGACGTAGATCAGATGACACGTATATGAGCTGACTTTCTCATCAGGAGGAGGAGGGGATTGTTGATGGCGTGACACCACCGACAAACAACAAAAGTAGGTATTTTTAAAGGTATACTATGCAGGCTTTTTCTAAAAAAAAACAATGTATAGAATCATATAAAAGTAATCTCTCTCATTCTTAATTTATGACCCACTAGAAGTGTGTGGCGGTGTATTTATCTACAGAGACTCTGCTCTCTGCATGTGCACAGCAGACAGGTGAGGTCAGGACTTGATTAAAAGGTAGCCACTGGTTATCACACCGTAGGCTACACACATTCAAGAGGGAGCAACAAAAATCGTAGACATGGCAAAAGTAAGTAAGGCAAAATGCCAAGCAGCACCAAGGTGATAAGGCTAGGGTTGGTTTTCACTTTCATTTCAAACAGCAGCTGACAGTTCCTGCATAGCAAACCTTTAATGACACGTCTAGTCATTTCCAAGTCCGGCTGTGTTTGGAGAGACCAGACCTGGGGTCTCATTTATAAACATTGCGTACGCATACAACAAAGCCTGAAAGAGATTGAAGTTGGGATGTATAAAAACAGACTTGATGGGAGAACCGTTGACCCATACTTATGAACATTTTGGAGACAGGAAATTGGCGGCGCAGATGGTGAGGTGGAAGCCTGATTGTAGAAAATTGTCCAGTATTCTTTGGGGCATGCAATTTTTGACTTTTGTCGGTACGTACATTTTTAGTATGGATCCTACATATTGTTTTATAAATAAGACCCCAGGTATTTAAGCCAAATCCTGACATTTTCCCAACCATAACCATGTGCTTTTTGTGTCAAACCTAACCACATATCAACTGCAGTGGTGTCAGAACCAGGGATGTACCACAGCCCACCAACATGTGTGCACGTGCATGGTTAAGTTGTGGCTCTTACCACTGTTGCTATGTTTACATGCTTTAGTCAATTACAACCATTAAAGAAAGGATGTTTAGCTGCCTTTTCATCTTCACTAGTTTACAGGTAGTACCTTTAGACTGAGGATAATACAACTTAAAGGCTACCACCAACGGCTGATGGCAACTTTTAAGGTGGAATGTTTAGTTGCTTGTTGGTGAAGATTCTCAGTCATCCAGGTCATGGTAATCGTAAGTGCTAATATCGTAGGTAACTGGACTTGCTTGCATTTCTTGAAGACGTTTCGCCTCTCATCTGAGAAAGCTTCTCGGATGAGAGGCAAAACGTCTTCAGTTCTAAAGGACTGGTACGAAGTTGCACACCTGGTGGCCAGGTGGGTCAACAACTCACATTGTGACCTTAACCACTCAAACTAAGAGCTCACGTGACCCCTACGACTCTGCAAGGGTTCCCAGCCACACAGGGTTTATAGCCTGCAACTTCGTACCAGTCATTTAGAACTGAAGAAGCTTCTTGGATGAGAGGCGAAACGTCTTCAAGAAACGCAAGCAAGCCCAGTTGCCTACGATATAGCACTTACAAATGTTTAGTTGCATGTTTCTCAGTGTATGAGTTGATGTCTTGAATCAATCAGCACACCTTCAGTGTCAACTTCAACCATTGCATTTGTATTTCATTGGCTCTCTTGCATGACATGCGCTTCAGTAATGATTGGATCTTAAAGCACTTGAAAAATGTGTATGAATTTCACCCTGTTTATGCAAACTGTGAATATTTTATTCCCTCACTTGGAGAAGAAACAGTGTCAGAGCTTTGTTCTGGTGTGCTCCAGGAGCACTACACTCCTGGGGGTATATTTATAAAACAATGTTTAGGAACCGTACTAAAAATGTACGTACGAACAAAAACCAAAAATGGTGTATTCAACAATTTCTACAACCAGGCTTCCATCTCGCCATCTGCGTCGCCAATTTCCCATCTCCAAAATGTTCATAAGCATGGGTCAAGGTTTCTCCCATCAAGACTGTTTTTATAGATCACAACTTTTAACTAGGAAGTGGCGCACCTCTCATTCAGGCTTTGTTTTGTGCGTACACAATGTGTATAAATGAATACAAAAATGTAAAGAAATGTAAAGTTTCAACACATCTGCTACATATGAAATGTAGATATTTAACATATAAAACAAATGTAATATATCTGGTTTGCAGAAACAAACCATGCCAATATTAATTCTGGTAGTAAGGTTCAACTGTTAGCTTAATTTTGGCTAAAGCTAGCCATGCCTCTGTCCACACACACCTCTTTTTACAGTTGTCGTTACAGTGACACACTGAACCTTATATAGAGTTTGTGTCAAAGACGAGCATTTGACATGTTTTCTAAAAAGCAGTAGTCTGACATTTATGGAAATATGTTTAGTCATTTTCTTGGCAAGAGTTATGAGAAGAATGATACAGCTGTCAAAAATAAAAACAGCTAGTTTCAATCTTCTCATCCCACTGTTGGAGAGAAAACACACAGTATTTCCCAAAACATCAAACTATTTCTTCAAATGTAACTATTCTCAGTGTGGCATATGTCTGTGTGAGTGTTGAGCCAGTTTTATCAAGTGTTGAATGTGTGTGTGCGTGTGTGTGTGTGTGTGTGTTCTACTGATTGCCAATGAATTTTTGAATGTACCGATGTTGCTCAGCTGCTCTTAAATGTTGCCTGCTATGAATTTGCCATGGTGTACAAATGATGTCTTTTCTTGAACATATGTATACAGCGCACTGTATATGTATATTTTTGGCACACAGGAGGACCTCTTGACGAAGACCTGTAATGTTTGTGACAGTGTTTTTGTACATTTATGTTTATGTAACTGTTTTCAGACTGTGTGCGTGTGTGTGTGAGTGCGTTTGAAAGTTGGAGAGTGTGTGTTCTGTACGCATGTGTATGTAATGACAAAGCATTAATGAGGATATAAGTAACTTAAATGTCAAAAGAATATCTATAAAGCCTCATCCATATTATGTTCGACCTGTGACGGTGTGTCATGTGTAACATGCGTTCTGGTGTCTAACATTCATGTCTCAGATTGTGTAAATTTGACTGCAAAATAAATCTGTCTGTGGTATTTTGTGGAGTTGTGACTTATTTTGCTGGACAGTGTACAGATTTAGCAGCAGATTTACAGCTATGCCATTAGTTTTATCATAAGAGGAAATTATCTAAACTTTTTTTTTTTTTTGGCTGAATAAGATCCTTGTCCAGCACTGATGCATTTTAAGTATTACGAAAGCCCATTTAGCTGCTTCTTTTTCCTATTTTTCATCCAAATCAGGGTACATACATAAACATTTATGAATATTTTGCCCCAAGCATTTTCTACCTCTGTTATACAATCAGAAAACCAAGTGCATTATGTTGATGAAGTTCATCATGAATAAAAATAATACATTCAAACATTAAAGCATAGCTGTAAATACATCTAAAAACACATGTTTCATTTATTACTGTGTTTCTCCCTAAACAGACCAACTCTCACTAGACCCACAAGAGCAGCAATGGAAATACAGCATATTCACTGTGACATAAAGTGCAACATTAAATCATATTGTGGACTGACAATGACAAAGTGCTTAGCTGAACAGTACAGTGCATTATTCATGTTGTATGAAATAAAAAAAACTGAAAACTGGGATGCATGGATCGGAATTTTTGTCAGCCAGTGTTGATGACATCACCCAGTCGCCGGAGGAAAATGTTTGTGCATTTGTGTTTGTAAAAATCCTCCTTCTATTTTTTTTTTTTTTTTTTTTTCAGTCCAGAATTTGCCTCAATTACACTGAAGAAAATTAAACTTTTGAAGCAGACTTTGGGCAGACAGGATGCATTGTGCCACAGGAAGTTAGCAAAAACAACTTCGCTAACAGACTGATGAATGCAGCTCTATTTATACATTTTTTCAAAGTGCAAAGTTTGACAGCATGTTTAGCCAGCTAACATCAATAACATGCGTTATGTTCTGTGCTGCTGTCCCTTTTCCCTCCACTGTAGATCTCCTCAGGTGTGCTGCATTACTTAACGAGGTGCTTAAGAGCTCCTGTGCCAGCAGTAGTGATGGGATTCCTCGTTCACTTGTGAGAGCCAGTTCTTTGGCTCTCATTCACTCTGAAGAGCCGGTTCAAAGATGCGGTTTGTTCGTTGTTGTTTTTTTGCTCTGTGTGTGTGTGTGTGTGTGTGTGTGCATTGCTGATTTTTCGCATCACGTGATCTGGATATTGTAACGTGGGCCCAGAATAGACTCTGCAGACTGTCTTTGAACCGGCTCTTTGAAGTGAACGAGTGAGCGGCTGCACTGTCTTTCTCCCTCACAAACTAGTCTTTCTCAGCTTGTTCCAGATCAAATAATCTGAGATTAATTGATACAGAGTAAATTAACGCAAAAAACAAAGAAATTAGGAACTGGCTCATTCACTCTAAAGAGCCGGTTCACTCGCTCACTTCAAAGAGCCCGTTCAAAGACTCGGCTCGTTCGCGAACGTCACATCACTAGCCAGCAGAGGAGAAAGGCCACTGGTGTGGGGACTACTGGCCCTGTTGCCTCTCAGCCCAAAATTTTCCTTGTCTTGTTTGCTTGCTGAGTGTTTTAAAGATGTCTTACATGGTTATATTGGGTCAGTGGTGGAGTTTCATTTGTCCCATAGGACGACCTAAGGATGGGCGTAACAATGCTACCAGTATAACATAACGTAGCAGGCCCCCAGGAACATTTTTCCCAGTGGCCCCTCATGTATTGCTGCAAGACATCCCCTGTGTCCCAAAAAGCATTTGACCCATAGTCCACCATTGTCAAAGAGATGTCTGTGAAACTGTTGACAGGACACCTCAAATTGCAAACAAGGTCTGTTATAACTCTTTCCATTACAGGTTTTTGATGCATGGAGGGTTTTTTTGTCAAACTTTCCTTGAGCTGAGAAAAGCAACTTAAAAACCTGTGATGTCATAATGATGTAAAGTCTATGAGCCACGTGGGCGGAGCCAGAGCAAGTGGTAAGTAAACCCAGGCATCCATCTTGGCATCCAGTATCTAGGTATTATTATAAATCAATAGAGTGTTGGAGCCATCATATAGTTTTTGTTTGTTTATTTTATCCTTATCTAAACAAGGTAAATAAAAATATACGCATGCCGTTATTAAACTGAACACAGCATCCATGTTTAAAGTGCATATTGGTAAGCTCCAGGTAATGGGAATCAGGTGTGTGGAACGGGAAGCAAACAGTTTTTGATCGTGTTACGGAAGCATGTCGTGTAAGCATCAAGTATCAATGTGGAAAACTGAATTTGCTGATTGGAATAATGGTTGAATATGCACAATGCTGTTGCCCCTCTATGTTATGGTGAGCATGTGTTGAGAATAAATGGCTTGCCAAATCCAAAGAGATAAAGCACACTGGACACTGGTTTATTCTTAGCCCAGAAAACGTATCCGGAACAAGTTCGCCTTTTCACACCTCAGTGGATGGTTTAGATATTTTGTTTTGTTAAAAAAGTTACTACGTAGAGTGCATGCATAATGGATTATACGTCTTTCAACAAAATGTTTTAGAAAACCGGCTACACACCTGACAGACCAACCTCATTACTCATTTGTCACCATGCGTAATTGGTCCTGTTTTTGTCTCAGTGCTGCTCCATGTGGATATCCCACAAGATTAGAAGGCAGAAAACACTCAAATCAACTTTTCTCCCACTCCCCCAGTGTCGTTTTATCTTTCACACTTCTTTGCATTAAACACTAGAGCCCCCCAGACCAGAAATTTTAAGTCAAAACACGATCTTTGCCTGAACCTAACCATGTTAGCCACATTGTTGTTGAAATTAAAAGCGTCTATTAATCCGCTTTATCATAACTTACAAATGTAATGTGTGTAATGTGGTTTGAAGAAACCTACAAGGCTATTTTTTTAGGTGATTGAGTTGTGACTACAATACCCAACACAGAGATTCGGCAGCTACAGACAGAGGCCATATCCACACGAAGACAGAACCAATTTCGTTTTTAAAAGTTTTCCATAAACACGGAATCGTCTCAAGATATGTGTACGTAAACATGAAGCCACTGAAAAGGCTGTAGTATATATGCAAGGCCTGTGAGTGGCGCTGCAACGCTGCCACAAAGTACACCAAAAACAGAATAAGAAATGAAGCATGCACATAAAACTCGTGCGAAGTAAACAAACACGAAGAAGAAGATGGCGGAAAATACAAACGCCAGAGGAGCTCACTTTGTATGGACTGACGACGAGGTAGAGCTGCTACTTAGAGTCACACTTGATTACAAAACTAGCACAAATGCAACCACTGCGTAGTCAGCCATTGTTGTTGTGGCGCCTTTACGCCTAATGCATGCGGGTTAAGGGAGAGGTGGGGTTATGGCATCATCGCTTCAGAAAAGAGGCGTACTATATTGTAAATACGGAAATGCGAAGGTGGCATCTTCAGATTTTTTCACTCTGGGACCCGGTTACAAAAGTTGGCGTACTGGGCTCCTAAAACGCTGGTTGCATGTTTACGAAAGGTCTATACGATAAAAAACCTTTGCGGATACACCTAATCTCGTCTCCATGTGGACATGGCCAGAGCTTGAATGTCTTGGTGTTTTTGTTTGTTTGTTTGTGTTGTTTTGTTTCTGGCTATAAATTTGGGCAGTCACTTGCATATGGGTGAAATCTTGAGCTTAAACAAATGCCAGATATAAATACGCACACAGAACCAATTTGATGCCACCTTACCCTGTAAATGCCTGGCATCTTTTTTTGTACCAATTTGGTTTCTCCTTCAGTGCAACAAATGTGCCAAAAAATTCAGATTATCACATCTGGCAGCAGCATAAAAAGTGACAGATGAAGGAAGAAACAAGCTCATAAATATTCACAAATATTTCAAAGATGGCTCATCAAAGCAGACAGCTCCTCCAAATAATTAGTTTTTTAAGACATGATGTACCAATATGTGGCAGCTTCGCACACACAGGCAAACACACAGCCTTAAATACATCCGCTCAGGTTCCTCTGCATGTTCATGATTGAAATTTTCTCTTTAGCAGCAGCTGAATTGCTGCACAAAAAAATCAATTTGCACATTCGGTTCATATCAACCCCGCACATATTTTCAGCCCGCACTAAAAACTGCTTCTGTTGAGTGCTGCACAAAACAATTAGACAAGTCAAGCTTGTCTCACATAATTTAGCCAAGTTCAAACAGCCATTGTTTCCGCAGCTGTCTCTATATAATCCCTCAAACATTTGCTCATTTTTGTACTCCAAACTGTAAACACAAGCATGTGAAATCATCTTCCTGCAGGTTCTGGGCCAGCTCTGTCTCTGCTGTGCTCTTTCCACAGCGTCACCATGACATCCTTACAAATCAAGCACCAGTGTACTTTTTAGTATTTTTTTGGTTGCACATATGATAGAAGACATTGTGATTTAGCTCAGAAATGTGTGATGTCATCATTCTAACTGCTGCTGACACTGATGTTATTCATCCCGGCGCAACATTTCCTTAATCACTACACTCCTCTCATGGAGGGGTTGTTGAATTAATGTCATCAGCAGGTTGAGTTTGAGGACTTCTTCTTTGCGTGATATTCTCACAACAACTTTCCTCTCATGGATGGTCTCTTAAAAATCATACTGAGGAGATGTTGCCGCTAGAAGGAGGTCGCTTGAGCCCCCCGCGGGCTCGAACTGTGATCTGAGTGATACTTCGCTTGGCTGGGGTGAGATGGTTTTGATTGTGACACTTCCACAGCCATCTCCGCAGCTCTGTTTGGACCTGCAGACAAAGGCGTGTATGCAGAGCTTTACTGGAGGCAGAAATAGACTTACTGGCTTTGTTAAAGCCACTATAAGTACAATTCAAACATGTGTGACTTTGCTGCCCCCAGTGGCAGTATCAGAGAAGACACTGTGGCAGATAACATGCTGTCAAACTTATAGAAAGGTACAGATGTTACAGCTCTATCTAGTTTATTTGTTCTTGAATTTGGGGGATTAAAGCTTCAGTGGGTAACTTCTATAAAATAACTTTATCATATTTGCTGAAACTGTCACTATATCTTGACAACAGTACATGAGACAGATAACCTAAGATAAGAAAAAATCATCCTCCTCTGCTTCCTGCTAGTGCTCCTAATGGCATTTGCAAGAATACACTGCACCTGAATGAAACAACCAATCAGAGCAAGGAGGAGTCTGTAATGCATTATAACCTGATCAGGTCTTTCAGGTCATTAGGCAGCAAATAACTTTTTTTTTTGTATCACAAAACTGTCACCTCCATTTACCTACCTCTCCATTCATGAAACAGTAAAGCAGTGCCACCACAAAACCCTGCAACACATGAGACATGGTGACTGTAATACAATCCTCACACTCTAATCTCAGTAACACACTCCCCTTAAATCACTACAGTAAGGGCCGTTTGATAGTCGACGCAAAGGCACGCAGACGCAAACGTATTGGGAGGCATCAAGACACAGCGATGCGTGTAATACCATGCGTTGCCAGCAGGGAGATAATGCAAGCGACACACTCGAAATTAACCACTTTTTGTTATTCACAGAAGAAGCAGGTATGAAATATGGCAGGTGAGGAGGAAAAACTTTGCAAACTCGTACGGGCACGCCCCCATTTATATGACAGTTCTAGTGCCCTGCACGCTAATAAAATAGCAGTACTAGCTAGCTACAGCAGTACTAGCTAGCCAGAATGTACTGGTGACTCTGCTACCCCCTATTGCGCAAATGATGTATTGCATTTCAAGTGTCGCCTGGTTTGCTTGCATTCAATGTACTGACTAGGAAATGCGTTGCCCTCGTCGCTTGCGTCACTTGCGTCACTTGCTCACATTGCGTACGTCTACTATGAAATGGCCCTAATTGTACATATAGTCAACCTAAAGAGAAAAGTTTCATGGTAGCTCTATGGTGTAATCAATGATAACGCAATTTTGGAAAATCCATCTCAGATTTATTGCATTTATAAGCTCAAACAAAATTCTTCGTGTCGTAAGATGTTCCATAACTTTACACACTTCACATTTGTTATTGCTTTTGTGATATTTTCACTTGCCACATGTGACAGATTAATAGTTTGTATAATTTTTAAGGTGCATCACTTTCACATGATATGTCTTATGTCTGGCAGATTGGCCAGCTCACAACTATCTTTTTGCTAAGCCCCGCCCCTTTGTGATGGTTCAACAAGCTGTCAGAGTAAGCATGGAGCCCACGCTGTAACTAACTGCACTCCCTGAAGAAATATTATCTTATATTTGGAAAAATGAAACAGTGATTCCAGAGAGAAGCAGACAGAGGGGTCTACAGTCTGTGTTTAAAGGATATATCCAGGATGTCAAACTGACTCAGCAACAACAACAGGTTAAAAAGACAAAGATAGTTAGAAGCTAAAGCCGAACTTTAGGCTACAGATCACAGTGTCAGCTAAGCAAAGGGTTAATAAAGAGCCTCTGTTTGTCAAAATGCAGTGACAGAGATATGACCTTTCTCAAACACAAATTTAAACATTTGAAATACTTATGAATACATAAATATCGACAGCCTAAAGAGTTGATTGTTTCTTTTGGTCATTTACTATCACGTCCTCACTGTCATTTTTCTGCAGTCAAATCTCTTATAAAGGTATCATAAAGTTACTTAAATTAAAAGTGTTAGATTGTTTTACGGAAAGAATTTGATTTCTGATGAGCCTTTTTTCACAGAAGACATTTTGACATGTCGCAGCAGGAAAAGTAAAGGTGTAAATAATAAACTGATGGCTGACTTCCATTCAACTGCTTCAGTTTCCAGCTCCTGGTAATGTACATACTGACTCACTGTCATGGCTTAGTGGGACACTTAAATAGAGCAGACCCATCGTTAGTGTTATTAGTAACATCCATCTTTGCTGATCCAACTAAGACAAGTCAAACTCCTGTGGAACAAGGACTACTTTGAGAACATCCATTATTCAAACTACTGCAATTAACTTTTTGTGACCTGTCTTAACTCAGGTTTTAAGTTAGGACTTTTTTGTTCTGCCCCCTTGCCAGTGTTTTATACCTGAAAGGATCCCAGTCCGAGCTCGATGTAGAGTCTGGCTGCCATTCCAGTGTTCTCAGGCAGGAAGGCAAACACTGTGTAGTGCATCCCAAACAGAGGGATGAGGAAAAGGGTGGATTTAGCCAGCCTCCTGCAGGAAACAAATAACAGAAGAGTGAAAGAAAGAAAGACAGCAATCCAGGTATGTAAAGGCACAACTCGGGCTAATCCATGCTAAAAATCCACACATAAACCAGAAGACGTATTTTCACTATTAGAGTCTGAGCAATGAGTCCTTCATGAACATATAATCCTCTGGCTGTTTCACACGAGAGATTTCTGTGTTTTTTGTTTTGCGATTTTCAGCATTTGGGAGTGGGTAGGGATCATTTGTCACATCCTCCCATGCACCAATCAGGATTTAACTCGGAATTAAAATGTAATGACAGTAGTAGATTTATTTACTAATGTTGGTAATCCACTGTCAATCACATCTGATGAAGCAAATTATTAGGGTTTTTCAGTCTTAAACTCTTAAATAACAAGTAACAGGGTTTATTCTTACTTGTTGTTTCTTATTATAGTTAATGTTAAAGAACAATCCTGCAGACTTCGTTCATTCATTCATTCATTCATTCATTCATTCGTTCTTTCTTTCAAACCTTTATTTAAGACTCAGGGAGGAGCCCCTAATTTTCAATGATGCCAAGCATGAACAAAGACGTCGAAAAAAAATCACTAAGCAAACAAAGAAACATCATGCATATCACTTAAAGCAACTCTTACCTTTCTTGCATTTCACACAGCAGTTAGAAAAAATTTGAACATCCACAACTCCCGCCTCCCTCCAATACCCATCCCCCTCCTCCTGCAACTCCACCTCCCTCCGAAGGCCTACTCCCCCCTCCTACATTATGTCCTCATTATAGACGTAGGCGTGGGCAAGGTAACGTTAGATACACGGAAGAGGAGAACGAGTGTAACATTACAACCAAGACAGTCAAACGCAACCCCGGAGTTTTAAAACTCAACCGGAGTCAGTGATGACTGATGAGTTTTAGAATAAGGTTACAGTGCTAACGTTAGATAGTAGCGTTAACGTAACTTGTAAGTGGAAACGCACAAGGAAGATAATGTTAATGTTTCAGAGGCTACGCTACAGTAGGCTAACGTTAGCCGTTAGCAACTGGATGCTATGTTGTCATATGTTATCGCCTATGTTACATTAGAGGCAAACTAAAAATACCTGTCCAGCCGAAACTCTGCAACCATCTCGTCCCTTTTTAGCTCAGGATGAAGCTCCATCAGTCTTCGCCATCGCTCGAAAGCAGAGCTGATGTTTTTCTACGCAGTTTTACGAGTTTTGTTACGAAAGCGGTTACGTCAGTTGGAGGCCTCCACGAGGGGAAGACGGACAGGATGCTTGGCCAATCATTGCATTCAGTCCGAATGCAATGATTGGAGCAGAATGAGTGGAATTCACTTACATTTTAGTGTGCCATCAGCTTATTAATAGCATTTTAACCTAAACAAAGAAAAGCATAAAATTTCCAGAAAGGTAAGGCTTTAAAACAGAAATGAAATCATACAACGAGCAACAATAGCAATAAATGGACGCTAAAAGTAGAAATACAGGGTGATAAACATGCTAAAATGTAGATGTATAGTTAAAAGCATTTACATTTAATTAAACCAAGATCAGAAATAAGACATTTAAACAGCCATAAGGGCGGAAGAGTGTAAGGTCTTTTGCAGATTATTTCATGTATAAGGTGCACTGTAAGAGAATGACATTCCTCCTCGATCAGTTCTGATTAAGGGAGTGTGAAACAACAACCTATTTTGTGAATGAGTACCAAGATTATGTGACTTCTGAGTTAAAAGGGATGAAATATAAAGAACAAAACTAGAACAATTTCAGGAGCTTTAAACTTGTGAGACGTATCACCCCATCATCATCATCATCATCATCAGAATAAGTCATTGTGGCTTTTTAGAGTTTGAAATATTCACCTTTATCTGTGTCAGTCTAATCAGTGCTTTAGTTTCAAATGCCAGACTGCATCATTCTGCCAAGTCTCATCACAGGTAGCTCGGATGTGGCAGACATCAGATCTTTACTAAACAAATTGACCTTTAAAGCAACACCGCCATCAGTGGAATAGATTAAAATGTCAACATACAACACCCCTATGCATTGTGCTCAAAGTTTACCTCAAGTCAGGTCGGTGGTGTCTAAATATCATGTAAATGTTTTGTTTTGTTTAATTGTGGTGACATTACATTATTGCAACAATTTGGAATTTTCATGCTCGGGCTGTAAGATTTCTCTCTCACCCTGCCGTTCACTCTTTGCACGCATGTTCACTCACTATCTCTAAGTGTCATTGTCTGGGTCTGTAAATTGAGGTGTCAGCTGTTTTCAGCTGATTCACAGTCAACCAATGGCACAGCGACACACCTCCTCTGTCAGCCTGTCATCTTACTGCCTCTCATTTTAAATATGGTTCGTTCTCTGCCATAGTTATTTCTTGCAGCAGCCGTGCGCACTTTTCACCTCCCTATCACCACGTAATCTCTATGGATTCATCAGCCTCATCTGCCTCAGCAGTCAGCAGCCTCAGAGTCATCGGCCACCGCCTCCACCAGTGTCAGGACTCCATGAGGGGGTTAATCACAAAACATCTCTGTCTGGTGTCCAAGTGCCTCAGTCTCAATCAGCACAAATCATCTGTTAATCTGTACACTCATAATCTGTATTAAATATTATCTTTATTCTTCTGTCTTTCCTGATTGAACTACCACTGATTAATACCCTTGTCTTATTCTCTTAATTTTCTTTTTGTCACTTTTATTCTTTCATGTCACAGAGATAATAAACTAGCTGGGAAGATATCTAATGATCTAAATCCACAGCCAATCAAAACATAATTTATGACAGATCAATCAGTAGTTACGAGATGTCTCGTCTTGTTCTCTGATGATGAAATCAGATTCAAAGCTGTCACAAGGACATGACAAGAGTCATCTGAAAAGTAAACATGACAAAAAAAATCACTCTGATTAGAAATAACATCACAGCCTTTGCTGCTGAAAGTTTAACTTAAAAAAAAAAGGTAGGATTATTTCCAGGCCTATAATAGGATTGTGTTCGTCTTATTTCACTCCTGGGATTTGTGCCTTTGTGTTGGCATCACAGATCCGTCTGAATCAGATTGAAGTTTGTAGGACAGAGATGAGGCTTTTGAAAGCGTGAAGCATTCATTGAACTGGTGGAACAATCCTGTCGCACGACGATGAAGGAGACATCTATTTCTGGTATCTGGTGCTATTTTTACGAGCTGCTCTCATTGTAAATTAATTCAGCTGAGCTGGAATGTGCACCAACCAGATGTCAAAAGGAGGAAGGATTCACTCAGGTACAACAAGGATTTCTGGGCTCCGAGATTCAGACGCAGAGTTTTCTCCATTAAACTGCGAGGAAGACTGGAATTTTGTCGAGGGATTTCATCAAGTTATTCCATTAAATCTTCATAGTAAACTCTTCAAAGAATGTGTCGTCCATTTCCGACATATCAGTTTCTCAGTAGTTTTACCTCAACGCCGAAAAATTGCTTAATTGTTTAAAAGAAACACTTACAATACTTTATTTTGTCTCCAAATGTGCTGTATGGAGAGAATGTCATTTGTCCTACTGAAAGTCTATAGTGACTAAAGCTTGATTTAAAGTGAAACACTTGCATTTGACACATATTGTTTTGACTCTCTTGCAGCTCAGTATTGTGTTGTGAGTGTCGCCAGCATCTGCATCTAGTGTTATAGTCAGGTGATGTCATCTAAAAGGTCAAATTATTTCCTGATTTTTTGGCATTTCTGAATATTTCTGAATATGTTGTGTGTGTGTGAACTTGGTTTCAATTTTTACACCTTTTATTTCAAGGTGCTGGCTCGCAGGCAGACATCAAAGAATAAGGGGAACAAAGCGGCGCACCTTTAACGCCAATGTAATCCTGATAAAACCCGAAATAAAAGATTGCATTGCATCGAAGTTATAAATGTGAAGCTTCCTCCTCATTTTTACCAGAATATATTTTAACTATTCATTCAACTTTTTTTTCTTTTGGTCACTTTGTGTTAAGTTGAAAACATGAACTTTAGAGTACTGTTTAAAAGAGTAACACTAACTTTTTGTTCAAAAATGCTACTGACATAATCAAAATGGCATTATGCAAAACAAATCACCACTACATAAACTCCCCACGAAATAATTCAATTCCTAAATATAGAAACTGTTATCTATCTCTTCTATTATTCAGTCTTCGTCATTATTTAACAGGTCAGGTATTAAAATCCTTTTGCAATGTAAATATTTAATTGCCACGGAGAACTGGAGGCGAATTAAAATGAACATCACATGTGAAGCATTGTGTTAAGTCCGGGCAGAGTTCTGAAGTCTTGCCTCCATTAGTTGATTGATATCAGGTGCTTCTTTCTTCCCTCACAATCAGTGGCCCATTCATCAGCTGCTTGGATGTTACCTCCCAGCAGGTAGCCAATATCGTAATCAGGTGTATAAAGCAGCCTGTATAGCCTGACACCTCTCACTGTTTGCTGATGCCATACACTTCTTACCTCTCTGTTATGTTGAAGCATTTGGTATTGCTTTACTAAGATATAATATTCATAAATGTACCTTTTGTTAAGAGGGGATACGTTCTCTCAGCTAAATCCTTGTTGCTGCTCTGGTTCTTCAAGAGCCACCAAATATAACTGTGTTTAAAGTTCACTTCCCATGTGTGAGTGTGTCTGAGGGAACTCTGAATAGTTGTGACTTACATAAAGTGTCCGGTGTCATTGTTCCCGGCCATGGCTGAGGATTTAAGCTTTTGAACCAGAATCCGGATCACGTTGATGAAGATGACTATGTTGACCTGAGAGGGAAACATGAACATGTATGCACAGTTACCCAGGTAACAAAATCCCAAGAGAGACACTACACACACTTTTAGTTTTAGTGCACAAACACCTATTTATTCCCACCACAATCCCAGTTTAATAAAGCAAACTTTTATATTGTGTGTAGTAAACTGATTGGCATTCATGAATAAAATAAATATTAGCAATTGACCGTGTGCTAAACCCCTGCCCCCGCAGCAATTATTCCAATACAGCTTAGCAACTGCAGCAGTGAATGTGAAGCTGACGTCAAACTGTGTTCAATTTTTAGCATGGGAGTGCCATATTTTGAGGAACGTACCTATGACTGCTATGGTGCTTACCTGCCTACCTTTTGTTTTGTTTGGCTGAAAAAATACATTGGTTAAAAAAGAAAGAGAAAGAAAAACCGACCAAGAGAAACTGAATCGCAGTAGGCCTATTTAGATCAATATGACTTGGCATCCAAAGACTGGATTGCAGACTCCCATAGGCATAGATTTCAGGAGGGGAGCAGGTTATACATCCCCCTCAAGATTTAGAACATGTACAATTGTCCCCCTATTATGAATGTGAAAGCAGAGGACTTTTATTTTGATGAAATTAAAGACGTTTGCCCCATAACTTCATTCAGAAAAGGCACAAATTGGTGCATAAAACCTCATCATTGTTCCTGCTGGGTGTCAGGGTGTGTTAAGAAGCTTTAAGTGATGATTTTAATGGGAGAAAGTGCTGCTATAGGATCATTCCCCAGCTACAAGTACACTGCTACATGTACCTACATGCTAACATCAGGGAGACATGTTTTATTGGTTGCTAATGTTGTTATTTTTTCCACAGTTTCGGGGAAGTTAGTAGCAGTGGGCTACAGTTTCTCTGCTCTCTACTCACCAGCAGCGAGGCTGTTATTGGTCCTTTAATAATCCACCAGATTGCAACATTTTCTGTGTCATCCCAGCAACTGTAATTAAAATTCACTTAATTAAAATCATGTTACACTTAAATTAAAGTACACACACAGGAAGAATTACTGTTTAACATGCTGTGGTACAACAGCATCGAAATTATGACAAACTTTTGGCTGCTTTGCTGCATATCATGCGATAAATCGTACCCTCTATCATCATAGAAGAATCTGGTCAACACCCAAAGTATGAGAACCGTTGATGGGAGCCCTGCAGCGTAAGAGCAGAGATTAATTATTAATGCATTGTGTATCTGTCAAGTAAAATTAATCTGAACAGCACTGGAGCTCCCACTCAAATGTTTCCTGCATTTTTCATGAAAATGTTGCCAGGCATATAAAACACTGTGTATTAAGTTTATCTGTCTCCTACTTGCATCTCCACACCAGAGGAAGAAACAGACACAGGATAAAAACAGGAGACAGGAGGGAGAGAGGAAGATAGAACAAACCAGAAAGAAGCTGATAAGACACATCAGAGTCTCTCTGGATACTGAGTGAGCACCACATCAAGCACACACACTGGGCTCCTTTTATGGTTGTAACACAGATACTCAGGATGGAGATATTCAGGTCCAGATTTTCCTTAGTAACAAGTGCATAGTTTTATGCTTGAATCAGGTCTGAATGTGTTTATGTTGGTTCATACAGTTGATTAAAGAACATGTTATGTATTATCATAAGGGACTGTTTGTTATTTATGAGCATGGGGGTGGTCACTTTAAATCATTTTAAGCACTGGGGAGGGTGTTTTTTTTTTTTATTCAGCTTAGTGGACAAACATTTAATTTTAAAGGTCATATCCTCATGAGACCCTGTGTCCTCATATGAGGACATTGCATTTTGGGTTTACTTGACCTTATACTTCATCCTACCTAACTTGGACCTGTTGTCCTCATTCATAGACACTTTTTCCTGCCATCTAGAGATATTAAGAGATATTATAGTCTCATTTGAGGATACCGGGACTTAATTATTGTCTCATTTGAGGATATCGGGACTTAGTTATCATCTCGTTTGAGGATATCGGGACTTTGTTATTGTCTCGTTTGAGGATATCGGGACTTAATTATCGTCTCATTTGAGGATAACGGGACTTAATTATCGTCTCCTTTGAGGATATCAGGACTTTATTATAGTCTTGTTTGAGGATACCGGGACTTAATTATTGTCTCGTTTGAGGATATTGGGACTTAATTATCATCTTGTTTGAGGATATCGGGACTTAATTATCGTCTCCTATGAGGATATTGGGACTTAATTATCATCTTGTTTGAGGATATCGGGACTTTGTTATTGTCTCGTTTGAGGATATCGGGACTTAATTATCGTCTCCTTTGAGGATATCGGGACTTTATTATAGTCTTGTTTGAGGATACCGGGACTTAATTATTGTCTCGTTTAAGGATATCGGGACTTAATTATTGTCTCGTTTGAGGATATCGGGACTTAATTATCGTCTCCTTTGAGGATATCGGGACTTTATTATAGTCTTGTTTGAGGATACCGGGACTTGATTATTGTCTCGTTTGAGGATATCGGGACTTAATTATCATCTCGTTTGAGGATATCGGGACTTTGTTATCGTCTCGTTTGAGGATATCGGGACTTAATTATCGTCTCCTTTGAGGATATCGGGACTTAATTATCATCTCCTTTGAGGATATCGGGACTTTATTATAGTCTCGTTTGAGGATACCAGGACTTAATTATTGTCTCGTTTGAGGATATAGGGACTTAATTATCATCTTGTTTGAGGATATCGGGACTTTGTTATCGTCTCGTTTGAGGATATCAGGACTTAGATATCGTCTCCTTTGAGGATATCGGGACTTTATTATAGTCTCGTTTGAGGATACCGGGACTTGATTATTGTCTCGTTTGAGGATATCGGGACTTTGTTATCGTCTAGTTTGAGGATATCGGGACTTAATTATCATCTCCTTTGATGATATCGGGACTTTATTATAGTCTCGTTTGAGGATACCGGGACTTGATTATTGTCTCGTTTGAGGATATCGGGACTTAATTATCATCTCGTTTGAGGATATCGGGACTTTGTTATTGTCTCGTTTGAGGATATCGGGACTTTATTATCGTCTCCTTTGAGGATATCGGGACTTAATAATCGTCTCGTTTGAGGATATCAGGACTTAATTATCATCTTGTTTGAGGATATCGGGACTTTATCATTGTCTCATTTGAGGATATCGAGACTTAATCATCGTCTTGTTTGAGGATATCGGGACTTTATCATTGTCTCATTTGAGGATATCGAGACTTAATCATCATCTTGTTTGAGGATATCGGGACTTAATAATCGTCTCGTTTGAGGATATCCGGACTTTATTATCGTCTCGTTTGAGGATATCAGGACTTTGTTATCGTCTTGTTTGAGGATATCGGGACTTAATCATCGTCTCGTTTGATGATACCTGGACTTTATCATCGTTTTGTTTGAGGATATTGGGACTTTATCATCGTCTCGTTTGATGATACCGGGACTTTATCATCGTCTCGTTTGATGATACCAGGACTTTATCATCGTCTTGTTTGAGGATATCGGGACTTATTATTGTTGACGATGTTTAGTTTTTTATACTTATCAGGTCCTAATAATCCCAAATAGCTATAGGAGAAATTAAAAATGCATACCAGACAAAAGCTCAGGTCTCAGGAGGATATTTTGGATTCATTTTAAATACCCTTACAGCCCATAAACCCTCAAGTGGATTAAAAAGGCATGTTTTCTTTTTAAAAAATCACTAAAATTACATCATTTACCATGAAGATTACAGAAATTGTCATGGGATTTTTTTTTTTTTCATTTCTGATGGTCCTTGAACACATCATGTACTAACACTTCCATCAAGAAACATAATCAAATCTAAGTTTAAAACAGTGATATTTCTAATTTGAAATCATTTTATTCTATGTCTCATCAAAATGTTACTAAGAAAAGAAACTGGTTGCTCTTGAAACCCTTAAATTCTACACTTGAGCACACATAACAAAGGTTTTCTCTTTTTTGTCTGGATTTCATTTTAACTTTTAGTCACCAAAGGGTAAGTTTTCAAAATCTACTAAGGGCCGTGGTGCCAAGTTACTGATCTTGTGGTCACTGCTGTTACAAACAAAAACATTTGTAGCTCCGGGGAAAAGAGAGAACCAAAAACAAAGTCACACCCCAGCCACCCTCCTCTGACAAATAAAGTACAGTCCCTAACTATAAGGCTCTAAACCGAACTGCTCCTCTCAGCCTGCAGTCACTGAATTGTACTGTAACATTATGGTAACAGGGCAGAATCATACAGACTGTGGAACATCCCTCTAATCACTCGAGACAACAGGCATAAACAGGGAAATATACAGCAAGCAGGAAACAACAAAGACACTGGAATGGGAATGGGAAGACCATGGAAATCAGTCGACTGAGCAACACGAGCAAACACAAAGGGAAAGCACTCCAAACATCCGTAGAGAGCTCATTGAAGCAAAAGATAAGGGCAAAAAACAAAGGGAGAGCCGAGGAAACAAGAGCCTCCCTCTCTGCTCAGGGACAGCTACTGTGTAAATAAAATGTTGCCAGGTTTTTGGGACTGAATTATGGTCTGGAAGTAGATTTACTAACCCAAATGTGCATGTATTGTGCATAACAATACAAAGATAAAACCCCACTGTATCATTCAGTGTACTGTAACACAACAACACCACAAACAATGGACTCCATTACGCTTCACAAGAGACTGCTGAACACAAACATACAAAAACACAAATATATTAGGTCATATATATATATATATACAGTACAGGCCAAAAGTTTGGACACACCTTCTCATTCAATGCGTTTTCTTTATTTTCATGACTATTTACATTGTAGATTCTCACTGAAGGCATCAAAACTATGAATGAACACATGTGGAGTTATGTACTTAACAAAAAAAGGTAAAATAACTGAAAACATGTTTTATATTCTAGTTTCTTCAAAATAGCCACCCTTTGCTCTGATTACTGCTTTGCACACTCTTGGCATTCTCTCCATGAGCTTCAAGAGGTAGTCACCTGAAATGGTTTTCCAACAGTCTTGAAGGAGTTCCCAGAGATGTTTAGCACTTGTTGGCCCCTTTGCCTTCACTCTGCGGTCCAGCTCACCCCAAACCATCTCGATTGGGTTCAGGTCCGGTGACTGTGGAGGCCAGGTCATCTGCCGCAGCACTCCATCACTCTCCTTCTTGGTCAAATAGCCCTTACACAGCCTGGAGGTGTGTTTGGGGTCATTGTCCTGTTGAAAAATAAATGATCGTCCAACTAAAAGCAAACCGGATGGGATGGCATGTCGCTGCAGGATGCTGTGGTAGCCATGCTGGTTCAGTGTGCCTTCAATTTTGAATAAATCCCCAACAGTGTCACCAGCAAAACACCCCCACACCATCACACCTCCTCCTCCATGCTTCACAGTGGGAACCAGGCATGTGGAATCCATCCGTTCACCTTTTCTGCGTCTCACAAACACACGGCGGTTGGAACCAAAGATCTCAAATTTGGACTCATCAGACCAAAGCACAGATTTCCACTGGTCTAATGTCCATTCCTTGTGTTTCTTGGCCCAAACAAATCTCTTCTGCTTGTTGCCTCTCCTTAGCAGTGGTTTCCTAGCAGCTATTTGACCATGAAGGCCTGATTGGCGCAGTCTCCTCTTAACAGTTGTTCTAGAGATGGGTCTGCTGCTAGAACTCTGTGTGGCATTCATCTGGTCTCTGATCTGAGCTGCTGTTAACTTGCCATTTCTGAGGCTGGTGACTCGGATGAACTTATCCTCAGAAGCAGAGGTGACTCTTGGTCTTCCTTTCCTGGGTCGGTCCTCATGTGTGCCAGTTTCGTTGTAGCGCTTGATGGTTTTTGCGACTCCACTTGGGGACACATTTAAAGTTTTTGCAATTTTCCGGACTGACTGACCTTCATTTCTTAAAGTAATGATGGCCACTCGTTTTTCTTTAGTTAGCTGATTGGTTCTTGCCATAATATGAATTTTAACAGTTGTCCAATAGGGCTGTTGGCTGTGTATTAACCTGACTTCTGCACAACACAACTGATGGTCCCAACCCCATTGATAAAGCAAGAAATTCCACTAATTAACCCTGATAAGGCACACCTGTGAAGTGGAAACCATTTCAGGTGACTACCTCTTGAAGCTCATGGAGAGAATGCCAAGAGTGTGCAAAGCAGTAATCAGAGCAAAGGGTGGCTATTTTGAAGAAACTAGAATATAAAACATGTTTTCAGTTATTTCACCTTTTTTTGTTAAGTACATAACTCCACATGTGTTCATTCATAGTTTTGATGCCTTCAGTGAGAATCTACAATGTAAATAGTCATGAAAATAAAGAAAACGCATTGAATGAGAAGGTGTGTCCAAACTTTTGGCCTGTACTGTATCCAACCATCACTTTAATTGTTAGGCTGTCATGGGCCTGCTTATCCTCAGACGACCTCCTCCAGTCGTCCCCATACTCACCCCAACCAATCAGGATGTACCACCAGAAATATTTCCTCTGAGAGACAAAGGTCAGGGCGAGCAGCGTCTGCAGATACATGCCCTCCACCAGCAACCAGAAGTAATTGGCCAGAATGCTGAACTGGAAGAAAGCCACGGCTGAATTGCACGCTGTCTAGAGAGGACACAGCAAAGCAAAGTTACGACTGGATGTGTCATCATTTAACACTGAAGGGGCACACAGTGTGACTGTTGTTAAGACAAAAACAGAAAGTTGGTCTTTGATGATATAAACTGACATTACACAGTCTAAAAATAAAGCTACAGCCCAAAAATGGAGATTGTAGCAGTTAGAGGTTGTATATTTTTCATATATTTATTCATATACTACTTACTGTTACTCTGGTGTTTGCTTTTTGAAATGGCATTATACTTGCCTTTCTCAACTCTGTATACGTTTAGTAAACATGTCCAAAGTTTCAATTCATTATGTGCTCAGAAAACATTTGTGACGATGCATTTCTCAGATATTCCTAGTTCTTTTTAAATGGTTAAAAAATGGTTTTAAATGGTCGGAAAAATTCAAACCCAGCTCATCTGTGGATTCATGGTTTTCAGTGGACAACGACGATATACAAATCTAGTCTTTGTCTTCATATTTCCTTACATGTAAAAATATTCTTCGCTATGTTTGTAGCACAAATGCGAGAAATAAAGAGTTTGTGATGAGTTTATTGACAGATCGGAGCAGCTGTGATGAAGGATTTGAAAAGGTGCCATTGCTAAAGTGTGTCTGAAAAAGAAATAAAAAGTCTTTGACAAGCTTCTAACTCCTAAAGCAATTTCTTAAACGACTCAAAAGTACTCCAACTTCGACTTCTCGACGATAAACATTCTGTAGCTACACAAAAAGATGATTCACTGTTTCCATCAGCGTCACCACCTTAAAAGCAAACTCTCAGTTCAGGCCATTATTGCATATGTGTTGGTTTCTTTCCATAAAATGTCATTATTTTGTAATAAAATGTCCTTCAACAAAGCACTGTCAGAACACTCTGAAGAGAGAACACATTTAAAGGGACGTCCTGCTGGGATTGCTCAGCTGGTTATTGATTGATTATATAAAAATGACTATATAAAAATGTTTTTCTGTGGTGTAAAAGGTGAAAGTCGAGTACCTTCCATCTCAACTACAGGCCACATGGACGGCCCTCCCTCTTCAAAAACACAGTTTCAGTACAGGTACAGTTTCATTTTGTTACTGTAGAAAAAATGAAGGGATTTTACTGAAAAACAACAGCCATCATTCATAATGTGTCCCCCTTCTGTCACTACGCTTTCCATTGCTAACTCAATCATACAGCAGATGTGGGAATCTGCTTTACAATGGGAACATGATTGGCTAATTAGCGTGCTCACCGTGGACACGGAGCAGTGGTCCAGGGTCTCGTCAGCGAACAGCACGGTGTCTTTAATGAAAACAGCGCTGGCTCTCAGGACGAAGGAGGAGAACAGGTTGATGTGGATGTAGTTTCTGGTGCAGCGGAACTTCCTAAAAGAAACACAAACAGTACTACTTATAGATTCCCAAGCCACTATGTAACAAAGGCTTTACTGGGCCTTTATTGATCTGACAGTCGATCATTTGATTATTTGGATATTTGTGTCTGTTGGAACATGTTATAGCTATAATCGTCTCTTTAATTCTTGCTCATTGCCACTCTTAACACTCCAGTTTAGGGTTTTAACTTCATACATGTTGTGTGTGTAAGCATCCTAGTTGTTGTCCCCTTTTATTGCCCTTATTTGTGCGTGTAAGTAGGACACTGTGCTTTTCTGGTCTTACCTGAAGGCTGTGAACACCACGATGGCTGTAATGAGGGAGATGAGCGAAGTGGCGTAGCCCACAGTGTAGACCTGTCTGAACGTGGAGAGGTAACTCGTCTGCAGAGACAGAAACAGAGAGTGAGGAGAATATGACGCTATCAAAGATAAAAGTGTCATGTGTGATGTCACAGGGTGGTGGTTCCCAACCTACCAAACAGACAACCCCTGACTAAGTGACATATTTTATGGATATTTTCAATAATATATTCATTGCATAACAAAAACAGTACAGAACAACTCAACTCTACCCAAATACGCAATAACTGTGAGAAGTTTGTGTTGTTATTTCCTGTGTATATTGCCTCAGAGATGAGTTCTCCTCACATTTCTTTTCACACAATTATCTGTTTGCATCTGCATTATGTATTTTTTTTTAAACCATCATATGGGCTTTTTATTTATTTATTTTTTTTACAACTCAGCATTTTCTTCTCCCTGATGCTCAGCCATTTTTCTATTAGCTCATTGGTTGTTTTCACTGCATACTTTTCTAATGTAGGACAAGGCTGTTTAGAAGAGGGAAGGTTCTGTGAATATAGCTTGTGCTCAGGTCTTCACTCTGCCCTTTGCAATATTATTGAGTCTTCTTCACAGAAATGAATGCAATGCTGAGATACAGGCCTACTGCATACTGAAAAACACTTTTCTCCTTAAAATCAAGAAGGCCTTGCCCCCCTTGAAACTTTGGTGACCAGGTTGGGAGCCAGTGTTAAGCACAGTTCAGTCCAAAGATTCACAACGAAACAAAGCAGCTTTAGAATGCTGCAAAGAAAAGTTGCAGTGGTGTGAACTGACCAGTCTGAGCTCGACTTGAGCCAGCTGATGGTGTCACCTGCAACTCAGCTGATCAAGCTTTTACAATGTAAAGCTGTTTCAACAGCCAATTCGGCTTGTAGTGAAGTACGCTGGTCAAGTCAAAATGGCCGCAGACGATGCGTTCGCCTGCTTGCAGGTGAACCGTTCTCGCCTGGCCCTCTGTTTCCATCCTCATTGTGTACCAGTGTTGTCCGGTGGGTGGCTGCTGCTGGTGTGAACCAGCAGGTTTTTAGAACGTTGCAGAACGGTGCATTGCAAGTAGTTGCCTGTTTCAACACGTCTCTTTGGTCTGAGCTGGGCTTTAAAGATGACACTGAGAGCACCCAGAGGAATGTTCTGAGTGTATGGGTGCATTTCCTGTTTCAGAACTGAGAACACTACAATAGATCAAAGCTCATTTGGGTATAAAAAAGAAAGGAAACATTCTGTGGGTCCACAAAATCAGACTCTCTCTCAGACACCAGAGGATTGAGGCTTTAAGAGAGAGTAGCTTATGTTAACAAGTATTGATTGAACTTCCACTTAGATGTGATTTCATTATCAAATCAATAAAAAATAAAACTTTGGAATTGGGATGAAAAGTTACACATATATCAAAACTCATCATCCAGAAAAAACTTTAATGGCGCCTAAATTCATTTCACAGTATTGTATCAAACACACATAAGACCTCACCTGAAATGCTTACATGTATTCTTGGAACAAAAACATCACAAATGCATTTTGCACTACACCTACAAATAGATCTGAAATGAAAAGGAAGCAGCGAGGGAGGAAGAGCGGAGAGGAAACAGAAACAATATGAATGTGCTTAACTGATTGGCTTGATTACAACAACGTGTGTATACCTCAGATTCAGGCTCGCTGTCGTCACTGAAAGCACAGGCCTCCTCGTAGGGTGGATACATTTCTGACCAGCCGTCAACCGTACAGTTCCTGTAAACATACCCTGATGTGGGAGCAGACAGCAAGGAGATGAGGAGAGGGTCAAATGGTTTCAAGTGATTCCACCATTGCACATCATATGATTCAGAAGCACAACCAATTCCTTATTCTTAACTTTCTTCTTAAACCTCTCTGTGGCTTCATTTACATCTAAGGAACTTCTTCAAAAAGATATAGTTTGAATTAAATTGAAATATACAAAGACATATATATAGAAATTTGAGGTACTTATATTGTATTAGCATTTCTATTTTTATTTGTCCGCTACATTTCAGAGGCAAATATTGTACTTTTTTTTTGTTCCATTACATTTATTTGATAACTTTAATGACTTTGTAGATTCAGATAATCCATACAAAATATAATTAACAATTGAATTATGATGTTTGGCTGGGCTATTAATCAACTTTTACTTTCAATTTGGCTTCCAACTATGATGAAAATAAGATAATGGAGATAAAACTGTTTTTGCACAGCATTACATTTTTGCAATGATGCTCTTGTTTTGTCCTGTGTTATAAATCTAGTGCATCCCTTTGCTTTACAGCGATGTACTTTCAGCCCTCCCTTAAAGCCCAAGCTCACTCTCAGCCAAGCTTTGGCCTGTTTAGTTCACCTCGACCTGTTTTTCAGTTGAATTACATTTGGAGTTCAAGAAAATCCACTGTTAAGAAGACAAGTTTAAAGTTAATAAATGTATGATGTTTCCAGAGTCAGTGAGTTAATTCTTTTTCCATAACCACTTATCCTTTTGGGGGTTGTGGGGTGGCTCAAGTCTATCCCAGCTGACATTGGGCAAGAGGTGGGGTACACCCTGGACTGTGTCTTTGGACTGTGGAAGGAAACGTGGAGAAAACCCACGCTGACATGGGGGAACATGCAAACTCTGCACAGAAGGGCTCCCCCATCCGACAGTGCTAACCACTGTGCCCTAAATGAGTGATCATGATGTATAATTGTAGTCTCAATATTGGCCAAATTATCATTGTTACAATTTTTGCCATGATCAAGTAGCCCTATCATTATAGATTAAGATCCCCGGCAGTATATAAATCTGTTCAAATTAACCCAGCCCTTACCAGCTGCAACAGCAACATGTGATTTTTACACATAAAAGCATAAGTAATTATAATCCAATGGGCCATTCTGCATAATCGAGTACTTTTATTTTATACCTCAAAGGTATTACATGCAGGATTGACAGTTACTGTTTGCAAACATGCTTACCAGTGAAAGTGAAAGTAAAATCCAGCCCCAGATTTACTCTCATTTAGTATTTTACCTCATTTTTTCAGCGCTATGTCTGCTGCTTTCGGTCTGGCACCTGGTTGCACCCTTTTCATGAGGCCCTGACCTTACCTGAGCATTCTAGGGGTACACACCCATAAAAGTCCCAAGCTTAGAGAATAAGACGAAAACACAGGTAGAGGTCAGAGTCTCTGCAAACAAATACATGGCCATGCACTTAGTGGGTCATGAGTGATGATAGAAAGGGATTACTTCTGTAACAGTTTACATTGTTTTATAGGAAAATCCCGCAGAGTATACCTTTAAGTATATTTTAAATCCTTCTGGACTTAAGTTAAATTTTGAGTGCATGACTTTTACTCGTGACAGACTATTCTACACAGTTGAATTGGTAAAGATGTGAGTACTTCTTCCTCTACTGCTTGTGACATTCAGCTGTGAGGAGGAATGAAACTGAGACCCTGGTTCCTTCAGTGAAAGCATGAGTTCCTGAAAAGGTTCCTGGGTTCTTGAAAATGTTTGTTCAGTAAGGAAAATAAATCTGTTTCTTGTCAGTCCATTGACTCAGCAAAACGCATAAACCAGGCACAATATCCCATATTATATATTGCTGGACTTAATGAAGCTCAGTCAGTTCAGTCAGGAGGACTTTTTTTATGCTACATTCATTCACAATTCTCTCTCCATCCCACTCCCACGGCTTACTCCAATCAGCTGAGTGTGGGCGTTCCCTCTCCTAGGTTAGTCAATCAAACTTTGTCACAATCTTCAGCCATTCATGTTGCTGCTGTCAAACTTTAAATCTGTTCTCCTCTCTGCTCCTGTCAGCTGTCATTTTAGGTGGAATCGTCACACCCTTCTCCACTCCATTCACCTCCAGCCACCTTATCCAGAGCTCAGGACAAGCTCATCAAATCCAACTTCTCTTCACATCCAGATCCTCAGCTCCCTCTTCATCTCATTTCATCACCACCACCAGCATCTAGACTCCACAAGGGGAATCCCTAATCTACTACTTTAACACTCTCCTGGAATTAATGACATCATGATGGGGTCTAATCACCAAAGAGTTTTCACATTTAGTTTTTGGTGTGCCAGAGAGAGTCTATTTATTCCACACTGATGTGGCCTACATTTCTCTCAGCTGAGGAATATAAATATTCCCTAAACCACTCATATTTTGGCCCTTCAGCCCTGTAAAAAAATGTTAATATTCTGAATAATAAACTGAATATTACAGTTTGTCTTGTGTGCTTGCCACCAGACTAATTAACAATTATATTTACTCATAAACATTAAACATAAACTTCATAAATTAATTTACTACACTAATAGTTTTATCAAAACATCAGTCAAAGCTTTATGTCTTAAAAATCCTGTAGCCACTGACAACAAAAAGCTTATCTAACTGCTTCAAACAGACTTACATTTAAGTTATGTTCTTGAGATTGAGAAACACTATTGTGACATCAGATCTCTGTTTCTGAATCACTGGTTCTCAACCTTTTTCCTTTCAAGGACCCCTAAATTGATACACATAAGGTCACGGACTCCCATTTAATAAGGTTTCGCTTCAGGGACCTCCATCTGAAAAGATGTGGGTTGTGAGATTTGATTAAGACCAGAATTCTTTGGCTGTCAACTTTAATTGAGGTGACAATTGTAGAGGAAGTGAAACCAGTGTTCAGAATAATCGCTCTTATGGCTCTTGCTCCAACACATTCTCACTCCGACCTCGTCACATATTTGGTCATGGACTCTCAACATCGACATATGAGGTGCAAGGTGCCCTGGGTGCGTTGGTTGTTAGATGCCATGTCAACTTGAGCCTGTTACATGCATTGTGCCTTTTCAAAATACACTTCAGTTTTTACGGGAAATGTGCAGTTAGCATACAGTCTCTTTCAAAATAAAAGCACTATAGCATATTGATGTTTTTTTCATTCAACAACAAATGCATGGGGCGTCCTGTGGCTTAGTGCGTAGAGCAGGCATCCCATATACGAAGGCAATGTTCTGACTACGGCAGCCACGGGTTTGAATTCAGCCTGTGGCCCCTTGCTGTACGTCAACCCCTCTCTCTCTGCCCTTCATGCTTAGACTGTCCTATCTAATAAAGGCAGTAAGCCAAAACCAACACTCACACAGTTAGGTTTAAGCAACAAAAGGAAGCCACTGCTTAAGCACCGGTATTTGATGACTTTGGAATGAGACCGAACTACCCCCCCCCTTCCATGGGGGTCCCTGGACCCCTGGTTGAGAACCACTGTTCTAAATGACGTACACTGTTGGGGAAAGTTGTCACCCCTGCGCACATTTGCACCGCTACACTTGGCATTTCCTCTCTTGGATCATTTCATTCCATTTGTGCTTTCAGTTAGAAAAAATCTGATGCTTTCATGTGAAGTCTACTGACATTTCACTTCTGGTTTACATCTATTTGGAAACAGCAGGTGTCGGGAAAAGGCTGTCAGCTGGATCTCTCCCTGCACTTCCCTGTGTCTGTGGGATTGTACATCAAAAATGTGTGTGCCTCAGATAGCACGTGCGGGCTTTAGCTGGACTGTTTGAACAAAGACACACAGAAATGCATAGCAGTGGGGTTTTCTCTCTGTTCCCTTTTGAGCTGAGCAAACAAGAACAAAAGCTGCCAACTGCACCGCTGAAAGCAAAAACTCTGCTCTGCTTGAGTGATCTGCATTTTAGATCATAATAAGCCACAATTTCAATCAAGGTAAGACGGGAAAGAACATTATGCCTTAATGATTCTGAGCTTACGTCACTTAATAATGCCGTCATAATGACAATCCTATCAGGACAAGAGAGTACAAACAGTCCCACATTTTTTATTTACGTCTCTGTGTCTTTCAACTGCAAGATAAAGGCTCCCACATTTTAAAAATTAACTAGCTGTCCTATAAACACTATTTTACAGATGCAAATGATTAATAATTGATTGCAATGTGTACTTATTACACAACACTTCATTGTGTTGACTGCTATTAACGATAAATATGAGACCTATTAACAACACAACTTTTATTCTCATGACCGTATTATTGTTACTTCAGAGTCTGTCTCTCTTGGCGTCTTCATCTCTCTGGAAACACAAATCTCTCAACAGCCCAGGAGCAAGTCAGACTGTGATGTGAACCCCGCAGACAAGATTTCACATCATTTCTTCTGCCAGAAACCTCCCAGAGCATGTATGTATATATATATATATATATATATATATATTCTTGCCAACAAACATACATGAATAATTCATACTGTGCTCCTCCATCAGAGAAACTCTGACTGCATTAGTGCTGCAGATTATACAGAACAGACAACTCTAGTAGTGGTGGAGCAACAGTGCACCAGCAGAGAATTGGACTTCCACATTACACTCTGTATTTTAACTGTTTTATTGATTATATGACTGGAATGTTGGTATTTTTGTTCACTGAGATTTGAATCAACATGGAAACCAACCTTGATTGCTGGAGAAATGCTGGAAGACATCAGAACATGACACGTTGACCACCTGCCCGACTTCAGCTCTCAGCCAGCAGCCGATCTCGTCCCACTCTGTATTACATCCTAGAGAGACACAGACATAAAAAGCAGCAGGGTCAATTAATAATAATAAATAATAATAATGATGATAAACTTTGTTTATGCAGCAAAGTTACAATGTTCTTTAAATGGTTAAACCAGGATTAAAACATCTCAGGGCTGCAATCAGGCAAATAAAATCACATAAATTAAAAAAAAAAAATACAAAAATAAAATGGAATAAAATCCCAAAATTGATACATATAGGCGGAACGGTGGTGTGGTGGTTAGCACTGTTGCCTCACAGCGAGAGGGTTCCTGGTTTGATCCCAGGAGGGAGCCCTTCTGTTTGGAGTTTGCATGTTCTCCCTGTGTCAGCATGGATTTTCTCTGGGTACTCCGTCTTCCTCCCACAGTCCAAATACATGCTGGTTAACTGGTGACTCTAAATTGTCCGTAGGTGTGAATGTGAGTGTGAATGGTTGTCTGGCTCTATGTGTCAGCCCTGTGATAGTCTGTCCAAGGTGTACTCTGCCTCTCGCCCAGTGTCAGCTGGGATAGGCTCCAGCCCCCCCACGACCAACAAGGGGATAAGCGGTTACGAAATTGGATGGATGAATGGATGATATATATAAGTTAAAACAATAATAATAGTAATAAAACACATAAAACATGTTGGAAAGAAAACAGTGTGCTAGCATTATCAAAGAAAAAAGATACGTTTCAAGAGGTGATTTAAGAGATGTCACTGATTCTGCAATAAGTGTGTTTCCATACACCCCCTCCTTCTTCTTCTTTCATAAAGACAAAAAAGTTTTCACACTGGCTTAAGTGAAGAAGTTGGTGTATCAATTAAAGCAAGATGCAACAGGATGCAACTGAAACAGACTTAATTTGTTCTCATTAATAACTCGTCAAATACTGCTGCTTTGCCAGTGATTTCGTCATCAGACACTTGGGTGGTGTGAGTTTATAACACCACCCAGGGTTGGTGAATGTTGAGCCAAACTACAGTATGATGTTTTTTTCTAAACCTAATCACATGCTTTTGTTGCACAAGGAAATAGACATATACAAAGTGTTTTACCAATGTTGCAAGACTGTTTGCATCTAATGAGCAGAAACTGTACAAATTAATGTGAAAACAGAAGTGTATTTTGAAGAGACGCAATACATGTAACAAACGTAAATTGACATGGCATACCTAACATGTCATATGTAGATGTGAAACTCCACTGACCAAGCTGGGATATTGGATGAGTTGGGAGAGCCTGGTCTCACTACGAAGTAGTCAAAATCTGGCACTTGGGCAGTGACTTGTGGCGTCAGAAACCAACGAAAAAGGGCGTCCTTTAACATCGGCCTGATACACAGCCGGTTGCCGTTATAGTTCAATGGCGCCAAGTAGCATCAGGGGGAAATGCAGCGTGACAAGGACGAAAGTTAAGGCAGCAAAAGTCGTTTGTGGTCTAACAAACACCAAGTTATACCCAAGAGAGTGGTGTTAGCGTCCTGAAAGATTCTGAAGCCAGACCCTGTTCTTTTTTCCTAAACCCAACCACGTGTTTTTGTTGTTGAAGGGTTAGTTGAAGGTCAGCTGGCAGTGTTGTACCAACGTAGTGCATTTATTTTGAAAGAGACTGTATGTTACGTTAAATTTCCTGTGAAAACAAAAGTGTGTTTTGAAAGAACTTGACACGGTGTCCAACAACATCAACAACCAACGCACCCAGGGTACCTTGCACATCGTATGTGGACGTGGGAAGTCTATGACCAAATGTCAATATGTGACGAGGATGGAGTGAGAATGTATTGATTGGGATGAGAACATGTTGAAGATTTGTGCGAAACAATGACGAGATTGTAACCTTCCTCAAATTTGCAATGCAACATTTCCATCATGTTACATCTACATTGTTTTAATTAGTTTGAGGTTTGACTGGTCCTTTTAATTTCATCATCTCATTGCAGCATCCGTTTTTACAACAGCTTAACGGCACCTGACTGGAGAGTTAGCTTTTATCTCGATGCATTCAACTCAGCAGTGGAACTAAAAGCAGTGGATGGAAACGCACATTCATTTGCATTTTCTTTTGCAGATCTTATCTTGATGTATTATATGTGTCTGTTAAGATTTGGGACTGAGAATCACATCACAGCTGAGAGACTTGTCTCTACCATCAGTATCTGTTACCAACATCTGCACTGACAACTAAGCACCCTCTGAAGTCATCGTGATTTTGATCAGACAGACAAGTCCTTCTTCAAAGCAGACATCTATATGCCTTCAGGCTTTGTTTAGGGTAACGTCACTTCCCTGAGCTACATACAAACATGTCAGGAGACCTGATATCTGGCCTCATTTCAGTGTCTACAAAGCGTGGATATGGATCAATTGTTATTCCGATGACCTTTCAGTTTTTCCAGATATTTGTGTTTTTTCCTCCCAGCAGCTCTACCCATACACAGCAGACACTCAGTGGTGGTGAGGGAGTGATACCACATAGGGGAAAAAAAGTAACAATAAAAATTTCCATGACCTGTTTTCAAAATTCTTGGGTTTGACTTCTTTCATATTGAGTTCCTGCAGAGGTCATGGTTTCTGTCAGTCCTGTGTCATCACATTAATATCAGTTGAGTAGTTCCGTCTGCTGGACTGAATCTGCCTTGCAGCTTTCTTCAGAAGGCAACACAAAAACGACAGACATCCAGTTCACTCTGTTCTTCAGGGGCCAGACTGTGAAGCCTGGAAAGTCCTGAAATACTTTTCTGTTTTCTGAAATGTTGTCTTTGGATAGGGCTGTTGATCTGCCTGTCGGTGGTCTACTTTACACAAATATCTCAACAATTATTTCCAGGCAACACAGTCTCACTTCCACCTCACATATCGACATTTGGTCATGGACTTTCACGTCCAGATACGATGTGCAAGGTACCCTGGGTGTGTTGGTTGTTGATGTTCTGGGATGCCTTGTCAAGTTCTGCCTGTTACATGCATTGTCTTCTTTCAAAATTGTATTGTTTACATACAGTCTCTTTCAAAATAAATGCCCAACATTGGTACAGCACCGTGGAATTATGTATTTTTCCCTTCAACAACAAATGCATGTGGTTGGTTTTAGGCTATAGAGACACATAGTTGAGTTTAAGCAACAAAAGCACGTGGTTAGGCTTCCTCGTGATGCTGCTGGGCACCGATAAACTATAAAAGCGACCAGCCGTGTATCATGCCAACGCTGGTGTGTGACGCCCCAGGTCACTGCCCAAGCATGGATTTCGACGAATTCAGAGTAAGACTGGGCTGTTCCAGGGGTGGGTAGTAACACATTACAATAGTGCGCATGAGTAAAAACTTGTTTGTCTTTTGTTCTTAAAGAACAAGGGCTTTTCGTGGTCCTTTAACCCTATGGGCCCAAACAACGCATAGGGCATCCAAATTCACACCTGTTCTTCTCCATGGATTTTTCTCCGCGACAAGCACTTGTCGGTAGTCCAATGTTTTCACAGCGAAAAAACATGATAAATTTACACTAAAATGATGTATAACAGAGCTTTCATACAGCTCTGCACACACATTACTCTTGGATGGATTACTAGCGAAAACAGGCTCGCACAGAAATGCCAAGCATATCACATGAAAGCGCAGGACCAGAGCTTTCCAATGACACACATCACAGCACATCATTGTGCTGTCATCCCATCATGCTATAAATCCAGATCTATTGTCTACAAAATAAAAACCAGACTAATTTCTTTACAGCCCATTATATAGATCTTATCAGTCACTTCATATAGTGAGGAATATCGCATCTTACCACATCTTAGGCTTGCGTGTGTTTCTCCCTGTCTATCCACATTTGTAGTCCAGCTTTCAAGATGCAAATATCTCCATATTGTCCAGTTGACACTTCTTCAAACTTTGTATGACAAAACCAACGCACTTCACCTTTGCACACCCAGACAACTGTAGCCTAATTATGTCAACAAGAAAACAGAATTTTTTTTTTACTGCAAACAAAGTGGCAAATATTATCTTGGAGGACATCACTGCACTTGGTTGACTATTTTTCTATGATCTTAGATGTAAATATTGCATGTTTCTTTCAGATAAAACACATTTTTGACTTGTGAATGAGTCAATGGAATTTCTTGCAATAATGAAAAAATACTGGCAATCATGTCCGCCTGGCACAAACCACATGTTTTGGACAGCTGTGAAGTGACAGAATGTCCCAGCATCATGGTTCTTATATTGCCAGATTCCAGAGAGTCTCCCCTCTTCATATATGGCAGAATATGTCAACTTCCAACTTGCTATGGTGAGATACATGTAAAAATGTAAGAATTTAGTTACACGGATTTGTTTTTTTCACTGATATCAAAATTAATATAAAATACAGGCACATAGGGACATAGAATGATGGCAAATCTGGATAGCCCAGATTGTCCTGAAAAAAACAAGATATAGCATGTGTATGTAGCCTTTATAATGACTGTGATATGAGCTTAAAAGTAAAGGCAGTAAAAATACCCCAAAAAAAGGCTAGGGCCCATAGGGTTAAACTGCACTCCTACTCTTTACTCGTGTTTAATTTTGAGACAATAATCTACTTTTTACTTCACTACATTTGCCGTTTATACCTTTGTTACCGGTCTGCTGTAAATGCAGGGAGTGAGTATAGAGGGAAAGAGGGCGTGAAGAGCAAGGCTACTGATGCCAAGTTTCAAGCTGCCTGAAAGAAAAAGAAGTACCACCTGTCTTCTGACCATGATGCAATGATGACAAAGCAAAACCAAAGCAAGAGACAAGCGACAATCCCTGACCACAACACTGATTATACCAAAAGACATCCCTTAAGTGATGAAGTGCTTGCTGTGCTTCCCTAAAAAAAGTGAGATCTCAGCTTAAAATCTCTTCTAACTTCTGCAAGCACATTGGAGTAAGTTATACATACTGTAGGGGAAAATGTAGCTTGCTAGCCATATTAATTTTTCATGTGTAACAACACATCGATTTTGTTGCACTGGCACACGCACCCTTAAGA